AAAAAAAAGTTTGGGCTCTTGGTAATATATAAATTTTTTGAGGCCCTTCTAATTCGGAGGCCCATGGCCGTCGCCCTCGGCGCCCAGGCCCAGGGCCGGCCCTGTTTGTATTAGTTGTATCCATCATGTACCACTTTGTATTGTCTCTTAGTTTATTATTATCAATCTTGTATAAATACCTCATATATGGAGATGAATAAATCAAGCAAAACATCATTCAATCATCAAATCTTTCAATAATTCTACTTTAACTCAAAACATTTATCACAATGAAATCTTGTAAAATATACTGAAAACAGTGAGAAAAAACTTCGATTTTAATTAATGGTTTCTTATTCAGAACAATGACCTTATAAAGGATGCAAAATGTGGTACACATAGATGCTATGATTATTTACTTTGTTTATCAAATATTTTGTCACATCATTAATATGTTGTTTGTTACCATGTTGATTTGTTTTATTAGCATGCAGCATATCCTGATATGGATGCATCTACCTCATTCTTTGGTGTTTATGATGGGCATGGAGGTAATAATGGGCAATTCAAATATCTACATATATACAAGACCTTTTTAGTACAAGAACGCATGCCTTTTTATGATTATCAGACCTATACATATGCAGTTTGCGAGGTATATTAGCATAAATTTATATTTTTTGTGTTATTACTTACCTATTTCCAATCATTGTTTAGGCAATATAGTTGCTAAGTTTTGTGCGAAGTATCTTCACCGACAAGTCCTCAAGAATGAAGCATATGTGGCCGGAGATATAGGAACTGCTGTTCAAAAATCTTTTTCTAGGTTACACCTTGAATGCACATGACTTCATTTTCATTGGTTTAAATTACGTTGATGCTTCTTATGACATCCAACTAGTAATGTAGCCATTTCACATTTTACTTAGTTTCTATCATAAAATATTAAAGAGACATCATCATTCATTTCATGTTGTGATACCATTGAAGCATCAAAATAGATACATGAGTTACCTTGAACCAAATTCATCCAAAATCCAAATAAATGTAATGCCAAAATTCGTCCACAATGCCTAAACCTCCAACACTAAACAATTTTCCCAGCCCCATATATATATA